TGGAAGACATCGTCGTTGAAAAGTCATCTCACGTGTAGCCACACACTCATAGGAATTTCTGCACTTGGTTACCATTGATCACAGGCACCAGACAATTAGGATTGCCTCCACTTGTGTGTCATGCCAATGTTCTCCGTTTCACCAATCGGTCATTGGATTGACCAAAAAACAAATTTTCAATTTTGTGCAGATTTGGTTTTTCTACTTTCTGCCTATTTTCAGATCGACTCTTGGGCCAAAATTCACTACTTTGAAGCTCTAATATAAATTGTCATGGAAGTTCGGCCCAAGATCTTCAAAACGGTGATTTACATGCTCAATTTCACACTACATTTTCAACCAAACAATCAATCCAAACAACTCCAACCCATAACGAATACAGTCACCTCGGTTTTCTCAATCTCGTCCACAAAGGACGAGATATCGTTGTTGATTTGCAAGCCACAAAGGCACAAGAACAAAATGAACATTATTCCAACAGTCCAAATTCAGAAATAATCCAACAATCCAACCAAGTCTGAGAAATAAAAGCAACAAGCTTCCGTCACTGAAAAATTAAAGAAAACAGATGATGAAGAACTTAAATACTGAAAAAATAAATGCTAAAGGAATTTTTTTGGATCCAAATCCTAAAATACAGAAGCAAATTTTGATTTTTTTCCCCCCACATTACTTCAAAGTGCGAAGCGATGGACAACTTTGAATGGTAAATATGTACACACACACACGTATATGTATGTATGTGTGTGTGTGTGTGTATATATAGATATATGTATTTTTCTTCTCTCTGTTTCTGTGACAGAGTTGGTTGCCCATACAATTTACCATTCACATGTTATGGGTATGGTATGGGCCAAGGTTTATGTGCAATTGGTCATTGGATGGGGCTGAGCAGGCTAATTTAAGATTGCAGTAGGTATATTTTGTTTTATTTTTTGCATATTTATTTTTTATTTGAGCTTGAGCTATATCCATCCCTGAAGTAGATATTAAAAAAATAAATAAATAAGTAATAAAAGCAAACAAAAAACACCGAGAGAGAGAGAATGGCTGCAATGTTCACTCACTTCTATACCTTAGGTAATTTTTTCCTTAATTTTGCTAGTATTCTTAAGAAGCATATTTCTAACTTTTAATTTATTTATTATTTTTTTTTCTAGCATTGAAGACTGAATGAATTACTCTTTAAATTAAATAATTTGTCCAACTTTTAACACATTGTTTCCTAATATGCTAGAAATTGGTATGTGTAATAAGCAAGATTTACAGAGGTTGAGAGAATATTATTCATTTGATTTATAATTTATAATACAACTTTTACAACTCTCACTCACACCATTATGCTTTTGTGCAGGTCCATTAGCTTTTGATGTTGCAGATTTTGATGGAAGCTTACCATCTATTCTCCTAAATCCACATTCATGGACAAAGGTAAGAATACCTCGCACTCCATGCATGATTCAAGTCATGTATAAATGTCTTCAGCAGCTCTCTACCTTTATAATATAGTTAGATGATTTTTCAGGTTGCCAATATCCTATTCATTGATTGGCCTGTTGGTACTGGATTTTCATATGCAAACACATCAAAAGGTTACTCTTCCTCAGACACAAAATCAACGAAAGATAATTATACATTTCTTAGGAAGGTAGGTTGACATTATTTATCATACATGTTGCATTCCTAAGTTGAAATTGGAGGAATAGAAATGAAGTTCGGCTTGGAACTTAGTAGTCCTCAACATTCTTAGCTAAATGCACTCGGCCCACATTTTTACTTATTTGGTTACTGAACTAACGATAGATTGATAATAATACAGTGGTTATTGAATCACCCCATGTTTATCAAAAATCGTCTATATGTTGCGGGTGAATCCTATGGAGGCAAACTTGTTCCCATGATTGCCATGGAAATATTACTAGGTAGTGTTTAAGAAAAAAAGAAGCTTACACAATTTTATTAAATTTCTTCTTGTCATCCAACCAAGCTTGATTAAGTTGTTACTCCTGATTGTAATGCAGGAAATGAAGCCGGATTGCAGCCACAAATGTCCCTCCAAGTATTGTTTAGCCCACACAGACTCTTTTTTCATTTTTTTTATACTATAACCTTTTTGTGTTAATGATAGGTACTTCTGAAATTAAAACAGGGATACATTATTGGCAATGGATTAACGGATCCAAACATTGATTTTAATGAAAGAATTCCATACGCTCACCGCATGGCACTTATATCCGATAAATATTTTGAGGTAATCTTTTTTATTCAACTATTTTGATGATCGAATGTAGCATTTTGCATATTATTCTGGTGTATTTACTTGGCAAAATTTCAGTTAGCAAAAGTTAGCTGTGATGGAAAATATGATAATCCTGATCCAAATAATGTGCAATGTCTTTTAGCTCTTCAACCTATCCAAGAGGTAACATTTTATCTTATTAATTTTTTCATTTCCTTTAAATTAATTATATATGGTTGCAACACTAAAAATTTCATGATCTGATCATATATTACAGTGCATAAACAGTTTAAATGAAGCTCAGTTATTGGAACCAAAATGTAAATTCATAGCACCAAAACCAGGTGATTTTGGATGGGATCAAACATTTCGGGAAGGCAATTCAGTTGACCATCTTTTCCTCCCAACATCCGGACATGATCGACTGTGGTGTCGCGTAACTTAAATAATCCTCTCTCTCTCTCTCTCTCTCTCTCTCTCTCTCTCTCTCTCTATATATATATATATATATATATGATGAAAGTTGATTTATTTTTCTAAGAAGTTAATGCTAACTTTGTCACTGAAGAAAAAACTTTTTAAAAATATGTTTGGTAAGAATTATAGCAACATTTTCTTATTTTTTGTATTTCAAGAACATATTTCTTTTCTGCAGACTCAAAATTATGTAACATCTTATGTTTGGGCTAATGATCCAGCTGTCCGAGAAGCTCTTCATATTAGAAAGGTACGTTAAATAGAAAATATTAAAGATTTAGGAGGCGTTTGTTTCCTATTTTTGTAAAAATGAGAATGAAAAATATAACCGTTACGGACTCCACATAAGAGATAGAAATTCAAATTTGGTGGATTAAAGTGATGGATAACGGTCATATTTTTTATTTTAATGGGGAAAGAATGGGAAACAAGCAGGAGCTTATTATGCTTTACAATGTGCTAGCTGTCAACAAATAGAAAAAAAATCATGTATTTTGATCACCAGGGGACAATAGGAGATTGGACGAGATGCAACAAGAGCTTATCTTATGAAGAGAATCAAGAAAGTGTTACTCATTATCATAAAATTTTCAGTGAAAAAGGATACAACGTTTTAATTTATAAGTAAGTCATATAAGTTTCTTGCTTAAATTGAAATTGTGGATTAATTTGTTGTTTAATCTTATCCATCAACTAAAATATATTTGTTGGTTTATATTTCATGGTAGGTCATTATATTTGTGTGTGTGTGTTTTTTCTGATTATATTTCTTTTCTTTCTAGTGGTGATCATGACATGTTTGCACCTTATACGGGTCCTTTAAAATGGATTCGCAGTCTCGATTTGACTGTTGATGATGACTGGAGACCTTGGCATGTTAACGCCCAAGTTGCAGGGTTGGTTTCAATTTTCTGTTATATATATCATTATATTATTTTCAAAATTTTAATGAACTGTATTCATCGTAGATATACATTGAAGTATAAGAAGAACGATTTCAGTCTCACATTTGTAACAGTGAAGGCAAGAAAAAATTTACGATTCTCATTCTCACAAATATTTGAAGGAAAAACAAATGAAAACGCAATTTTATTTTGCAGGGTGCAGGTCATACCGCACCGGAGTACAAACCTATAGAATGTCTTGCGATGTTACACCGATGGCTCTCAATATGGCCTTTATAGGTATGTATAGACAGACGCGCGTGTTTTTTGGCTCTCAATACGTCATTTGTTACACATTTTTAGATTGTAAACTCGACAAATATCGTATATTTTTTATTTCAATTAATGAAACTTGTTATTTTTTCAAGAGCAAATGCACAAGTAACTTAAATTCGATTATATTTATCTTCGGAGGACTATATTCTTAGGTAGCATACAGCATTTATTTTACTTAGATATACAGTAGTTTCTACGTAACTAAAGTTTTCAAATGTGATGTTATGTTATTGCATTTTGTCTTACACGCCTTTGCATGGGTTGAGTTTCAAGCACTAAAATCTACGCTAATTATATGACCTCAGTTTATTTAGCCCCCATTTGGCCTCCATTTTCATTCATTTCTTTTCCTCTTTTTTATTTTCAACTACACAGTCTTCCATAAAATAATATTACACGTAAATTAAAAGTTTTTCATTCTTTTTCAAAAACACATTCATTAAAAAAAATTATTACAAAAATTAAAATTTGTAATAAATGGGGGTCAAACCGGGGCTTAAGTTTGTTAGCCAAGGGCCCAACCTATGTCCCATGTAAGCTTGGCTTCCTAAGAACGTTGTCACATCATAACCTGTTGATTCTATTGAATATTTACATTATAATTCATATTGAAAAAGAAATATATGATTTTAAGGGTTCGTTTGATAGCACTCAATTTCATGGAAAATGTCACATTTGAGGAATACGTTTTCTACTTTGGTTGTTTGATACGGAAGTGGAATTGGAGTTTGAATTCTAGGGTACAAACACTTGATGCATGTTTTTGGCCAATTTCATAGAAATCGAATTCTTATAGTTTTTTTTTTTTTCCAATTTACGGCGGACTTTAATTCTAAAAGCTTATAATGGAATATTTTAAGAGTTAGATCGACAGCGAGACTTACCTTTGAATTTGATTTCTTTGACGCAAACGCTTGTACATGAATTAACTGATGCAGACGTACGTCAAGATCAGTTTACCAAGAAAATTGATTGGAGTTGAATTCTAAATTTCTATCTTTTGACCCTAATGTACTATATGAGAGATAAGAAGTACTATAATGTCTGTCAATTATGAATTTCACAAAGACATTTATTTAATTATGTATACTAATAAAAAACCAAGAAAACGCAAATTATCAATGATACATAAATGAGCTCAAAGTGTCAAATGAGCCATCATAATAATAAAATATCAACAGCGATGTCCAAATGATGCCCATTCTTACGAAATGTTCATTAGATTACTTTGGTGGCAACCTTTTCTTAGTGGATATGCTACCATAAGGCTGGTGCTAATATGCTATATTCACGCTCGATATTTATGAACTCTTATTTGAAGATTAAGAATTTCAAATCGATGTCTTTAGGATCCTCAGAATACTTTTTCATTTTTGGAAGAGATGACTGCAAAATTATCACAATAAATTTTCAGCATCCTAGCAATACTTTCAGCAACTTCAAATGCTAAAACAAAGTTCTGCAGCCATTTCTTTGAACTGTGTCCTCAAACAATGCCGCTAACTCCCTTATTGGATGCAGCAATGACGAAATGTTTCGCATTCTTTCATGATATTTCCTTCTAGATAAAAAGACCATTTAGAAAAACGTGGATTTACCTGCATTGAATTATTTCTAATTGATACCTGCCCACATTCCAACAACAAAATTAATGTGTGGCCTGGCATTAAACTCCTAACAGTTGATCATATGTAAGACCCCAAAAAGTTCACAAAATATTATTTCTTGTTCTATACGCTATATTTTTATTATTTTGAAAAAATTAGGGGATTAAAGTGATATATGTATTAAATTCAATTTTATTTGGACAAAATTATTATATTTTGATACAGCAATGATAAGTACATTAATATTGGGATCACTAGATAACTTTTATTCAATTTGGATAAGTGAAACTCAAGTTATTAATTGAGTTAAATATGAATTTAAATATTCTATTTCAGCAACGTGTGTGTTCCTACTATGATAAGGTTTAATTTAAAATTCTATGTTAAATATTCTTATCCAAGCACATTATCCCACACGTTTTCCCATATGCACCAGCTCTTTATGGTCTAGGTCATTATTGCCTATGTACATGTATAAAAATAAAAACAAAATAAAAAAAGGTTGAACCCCAACTTTGAGGGTCCTCACCGTCCTGCCCTTTGAGCTTTGTGAGAGAGGTAAATCGCGTGATGTGTCCCAGTAGGCCAGGGAACAAGAGCTGCTTGTACAACGCACCTAGAAGAAGTTCAATTCCATGTCTCAAGAATTGAACCCCCACACTGCGGCTGCCAGCAAGACGTAAGATAATCTCACTCCTGCCCTTTGCACCACTGGGCTATGCCCCGAGAGCGCCTACGTACATGTATGAAATGATGGTGGAGGGGACACAAACAAAAATATACATGCACATAAGCAAAGGCAGAAAATAGAATTTGGAATGTAATTCTGGATTCTATCTCGTGCAAAAATTATTTGATCTAACAAGATAGGATTACAGTTGCCATTTATTTTTATCCCCGTTAAATTTTTTTTTTTTTTTTGTGCTGTTCAATTATTATGCCGATGAAAGCTAAATGTATGATATGATATGTATGTTATGGTCATTCGGTATCAAAGATATGATATTTATTGAACTCTTACCAATTTCTAAAGATATGACGACGGTATGATATTTTTACGCATGTTTTAAATCTTTTATTTGGGATTGCACCATTATTCGTATCCTATTGAGTATTCCCATATACTCACTATTTTCTCTACCTCTCACGGGTTGGAAGGGGTCGATATTGGAGAGAGGTGAGGTCCAATCGTTATGCTTAAATCCGTTGTAACGTAACTATATAATTTATATTTAGTATTTACTTTAGTTTTATTATTAAGTGGATTTGCTATTTGGGGTTTGGAACATGTTTTATTTGGTTATGTTTTTCCATATTGGTGAAACCAAAAATTTCATATTGTTAAATGTTTATTTAATTAAGAAATGAATAAGATATGGCATAGGAAAATCGTCTTTTTTTTTAAATAAAAGAATATAGAATTATTCTATATAACGAGTAAACTACCTTTACATAATTTTATATTTATTGCATGCCATTTTTTCTAAAGCTTAAATGAAACTTTTAGTACTGATTTAAATATTAAAAATTTGGGTCGTTACAATTTGGTATCAGAGCACGGTTTAATTTTCTATAGACCCATATGTATTTTCATAATTTGAGTTTTGTAAAAAAAATAAAATTGAAGCAACATGAGCAGTGAGCGTTTTGTTCACGATGAGTAGTGGAAAAATTAATTTTAAAAATAGAGGATTTAAAAAAAAAATTTAAAGGAATGATTTTAAATTATAATTCATACATTAAAAAATGACAACGTAATATTAATATTGAACTTTAATGTTTTAAAAGTTACGTGTAAGAAATGTTTATTTGTTTAGAAATGTTTATTTGTTAGCCGCTTTTTTTGTAATTTTTTTAAGATATATGAATTTAAGGATGATGTAAATTTAAAGTTTGTAAGCCATTGCTTGGCTCCCATTATTTCAAATTTTAATGGGTGGAATAGTATTTTTTGGAGAATTGGTGATTAAAAAAGAAGAAAATTTTTTAGATTTACATATAATATTACTAATGAAACATTGTCTGGTTGAAAATAGGATAGAAAAAACAAATTTTAAATTAATGGGGAGCTAGATATGTAAGAATGTAAAAGATTTTTGGCACTCAACGACCATCAATCGATCACCCTCCGACGAATCTAAGGTATTTAAAGGGATAAGAAGATGAATTTATTCAATCTTTTTGTACAACTTAAATATTTTTAATTGCCTATTTTTAAATTTTAAGACATACACATTTGTTTTCTCGCTAAACTTATGATATGTATTACGATAATATAGGTATAACATGTTAGACTTAGTAATTGTATGTAACAGGTGACTGAATATTAATTATTTTAGGAAATGGAATTTGATAAGTGACCTATTGCGAGCAGTACTAGAGTAAAGAAGACAGAATCAAGCGCCTCTACCACACAATGCACCTCCATTTGTCCCTAGAGCTATCTCAGTGGTTTAGCAGTTTCATAGGTACATGCTTCTTACTTTCGACGGTGGTTTTGATCCACTGGCTATAGAAGAATGATTTATAAGCAATTTTTTTGTTCCCACAATTAATGGCCCGTAGTTGTGTTAGTTTAGGTGGCATATTCTTGTATTCGAGAGAATTGGAATATGTTCGACATAATATAAATCATCGTAGGATCCGATAGGTGATAGAAATATACCGCTATGCCCTACATGAATTTTTAAGTCTTTACAAGACTGCATGCATTTTTATATATGCATTTGTCATAGAAATATAGACCAGTGGTATGTAAAAATAGGTTCGATACATCTTAAGAGCGAGTATTGGATAGATTAGGAGCACTGATTCGTCAATAATTTAAGTGTGTTGTCACATTGTGAAATTAGGGTTTAAGGTGATAATTGCATGGAAAATCGTGCTCCTAGTGTTTTTAATTTCCATTGAATACAACCAATTCGCGTTATAACATATAATTTGCATTTTAATTCATTAAAATATCGTTTTGCATAGTTGAGTTCATTCCAATCTTCAATTTTGCATAATTAGGGTTTTCTTTCTAAAATTAGGGTTTATTTAGGTAAAATATTCATATTGAGTAATTTCGTTTTGGTTAAGTCTACACTAGGTAAATATTCATATCAGGGCTTGGAACGTACCTTTCGACATATTACTTGTATGGATGCATAGAATGTACTATGTGCAGAGTTTATGTTCTTTGGTGCAGTCAGTCACTGGTAGGAGTCTGTCTCACACACTAAGACTGAAGAGCGACAGCGTAACCTGACTCAGGAGCAATTTAAGGATGAAGTGATGGCAAAGTTCTTTCCACAGGCTTTGAGAGACTTCAAGGAATCAGAATTTTGTAGCTCACACAGTAAAACACATTGTTTACTAATTATAAAAGGCAGTTTAATCAGCTCTCAAGATATGCACCGCACTTGGTAGATACGGAAGTTAAGAGGACCATGAGGTTCGAAAATGGACTTCAACCAGAATGGGCATGATCATTGTGCCTCATCGTTTCACTTCGTATCGTGAAATGTTGGAGGGGCTCAT